TCCTTAAAATGGTACTGCACTATTGTTTAAAAAAGGGGAAACAAGAAATATATCACGCTATTTTGACTGACATTTCTATTAGTAATATTACCGCTGGTAACCTGGTGTCTACGTATAGCCGTCTGGAAAAACAGGCATGTGTGGTCATGTGTGGCATGTGCGATCATATGGCATAGTGGTACCCAGTCTATGCTACCTGACGTCAGACTATGATATTTTAGTATGGTTAAAGCAGACTGGTCTAAAATAACTAACTGGATGCTTATTTCTAGGGATTATGGTCCGCCAGGAGTTAATGTATTGCTTAAAGGAGCATGTATTGGGCACCTCTTCACCGGGGGATCTACCTATTTTTAATGACTAGTTTAGACCACACCTATTGTGTTGTGCGCTATGCCATGGTAGCTATGGTCCTCTGAGCCTAATCTAGCTGCAATCCCCCTCCCCCCATGCAACATACAATCCATGATGCTTGTAGCAGTCAGGCTCTTAGTGATCTTGCAAAGTTCGCTGTGGAAGGCAGTAAGGCAGCCTTCAGGGGTGGCACTCCTCCTTTCCTGAGTTTTAGTAGGGGCTGACACCTCTAGGCCATGGACACTGGTGCTCTGGGAGTCCCGGACCTGTCCGCGACGGGGAGTGCGTGATGTCTTGATGGTCTTCCTGTTCTGTTTGGCAGCCCTCTTCTTGTGTGGGTGGTGTTTCTTGTTGACCCTCAGTCCCGGAGGGCATATTGTGGATGACGCTGGCGTGTGCTCTCCCCGCTGCATCTTCTGATCCTTCCTTGTGGTCTCCGCAGGTAGGTGGGGGTTTCCATGTGTTCCTGTAGCTTGGCCCAGAATTTTGGAAAGATTGCCTCTATCGAGGTTGTTGTACAGCCACCAAGGTCGGGAGGATTAATGTGTTGCTGTGGCAGGTGTTGAGTCTCAGGCCCATGTGCGCTCGCCATTTTAATTATGCAGAGTCGTCTCTCAGACTGGTATGTCGCTCTGTTCGCAGAGGGACTATGGGTTGCTGGCAAGCGGGGACTGGGATGACCCCCACCAGTCCAAAGAGTGGGTCTGCTGGATGTACTAGTCGGTGGGGAAGTCAGTTGCCCTTCTCTCTCCTAGCTATCTGCAGGCCTTTATGTGCTGCTTCGGTTTACGGTACCGTGGGCTCTTTGGAGAGGCATCTGCCATTTTGTCACTGCTTTCCCAGTGTATCTAGCCTGGTGTGGCATCTGTCGCTTTAGAATTACCGGGGGTTTTCCCCAAAAAGTCAGTCTGCTGAGCGGGAGCTCACACAGCATATGTCCGATCAGCTTAGAGTTCAGGCTCCACTCCCCCAAAAATTTGCACTTTTATACACCCCCTGGTTGTCAATCAGACAACTGGTCCTGTTCCCAGTAAATTAGCTAAACTCAAGAGACAGGAAATGATCAAGGCAACTGCCTTGCAAATATTTCTCATTGAGCATCAACTTAGCCACAAAAAGTCTAGGGAAGAGGGGGGGTGCTTGCAAAGGCAGCATACCTGACAGCTGGAGCTTTTGCAAGCTGTTTTTAGATATACATCCAATTATAAAACACATTATTAAATCCATGCATGTTTTAATTGTAGGTAATATCCTTACAGTGCTTTATATTATAATTATATATTTTTGGGCAGTGGAGTGTCCCTTTAAGAGAAGTAATCATGGTGTATGCATTGCTCTTCAATATTTTGGTCAATGTATTCCACAGAGAATAGAGATACATTTTCTCCCTACTCACCTTGTCACCTGGCACTAATCTAGACCCTATATCCACATATGGATAACTCTCATCCTATATTCTATACTCCAGCTGCCATCCCTACTTTTATTTTCTATTCTGTAAATATGCTCTACAACTAATCTCTTTTTTAATCTCCTCATTTTCCTCTTCTAGTATAATAAATAGAAGAAGTTAAAATTTAAATATGGATTAAAATTAATAGCATAAACTAAAAATAATGTAATGATAATAAAAAAAAAATGCAATATATTTATTTGCAATAAAAGAGGGAAGGGTTACAGAGTAGAGTTGAGCAAACCCGGACTGTAAAGTTCGGGTTCGTACCGAACATTAGCTTTTTTGGACCCTGGACCCAAACACGGACATATCACTGTATGTTCGGGTTAGAGTTTGGTGTTTGGCGATTTAATGGCGCGTTTTCAAAGGCTTCAGGGCTGCCAATCAACAAGCGTTTGACTCATGTGCACTTAGAAGCCATCACAGCCATGCCTACTAGTGGCATGGCTGTGATTGGCCAGTGTGACCCAGCCTCTATATATAAGCTGGAGTCGCGTAGCGCCGCACGCACATGTGGTCTTATTAGTGTAGGGAGAGTATGCTGCCGCTGATAGGGACAGAATTCTGCAAACTTGTGGGGTGGGGTGCACTTCATATCTGAGAGTCAAATAGAAGCTTCAAATACTGCGGTTACATCAGAGTTTTAAAAAGTAAATTTGTTTTGCTGCTAAATAGTACGTTAGTGGGGTAGTACATTAGTGGGGTGCACTTCATATCTGAGAGTCAAATAAAATCATCAAATACTGCTGTCACATTGCAGTTTTAAAACTTAAAATTTTTGGGTGCTAAAAAATACATTAGTGGGGTGCACTTCATTTCTGAGAGTCAAATAGAAGCGTCAAATACTGTTGTCACATTGCAGTTTTAAAACTTAAAATTATTTGGGTACTAAAAAGTACATTAGTGGGGTGCACTTCATATCTGAGAGTCAAATCGAAGGGTCTAATAGTGTGCTTACAGCGCAGTGGTAAACATTCTTATTTTCTGGGTGTTAATCTGCTAAATAGTACATTTTGGGGCCTGCTCTTCATATCTGAGAGTCAAATTGAGGCGTCTAATAGTGTGCTTACAGCGCACTTGTAAAAATTCTAAATTTCTGGGTGCTAATCTGCTAAATAGTACATTTTGGGGCCTGCTCTTCATATCTACAAGTCATGCTACAACAAAATTAAACAAGTTTTAAAATATGTATGGGCCAACCAGTGGCTGTAAACAACAAAGTTTTACTGGTTACATTCATGACTACACACTCTAGTGAACAGGACCTTCATGTAGTGTGTTCTTTTTTTTTTAAATTAAACAGCATCCTTTCATGTGCGTTTCAGATGTCATATTGTGAATGACCAATTTTTGTGTAGCCTGATTTTTTTTTTTAAAGTGAAAAATAAGTGTTATTGTGATCGCTTCATATAGAGAAGCATTAATATATATTTCTATATTGTGTAAAGACACAACTACAAAGTTAAAACCCAAACACCAAAACAACGTGCCAGACAACCTACCTGTGCATGGCTAGTGTGATACAATAAGTCTACATCTTAAAAATGCAATAACCCACAGAATATGTGTGCTTGCCATCGTCTTTGTTTACACTCCCCCCATGACGACGGACGCAATCATGTGCGTGCCACCGTCATCCCTTACTCCACCCCTTCCACTGACGTCAGCCGCAATTAGCATGCGAGCTGACATCCCTCTCCACACCCTCTACATAGATGCCGGCGGCTGCGCAGTGCGCGCCGGCGTCTATACCACAATTCCCATATTTCCATGCGGTTGTTTGCCGGTCACATGACCGCGCATAAAAAGTTTCATAAATCAAGCTAGAACCCTCGTTTTTAGCATTTATTTATGTAATAATGTTTATACTGTGCAAGTTATTGTATGCATTATCAATTTTTCTGATTTTATATTGTTTTAATACTTTTATGTCTTTGCTCACTGTTGATTGGCTGCTCACATTTTGGCGCCAATTTTAAAGGGTTAAAGTTGTTATATAAACCATTTCATGCCAGGTATCAGGTTCTTACCCCAGATTGATTATGCCGTGTTGACGAAACGCGTTTATGGTTATTATAATGTGTAATTTTAATATTAAAGTATATTTGGTAACTTTTATTGTACCACTTATCTTTTAACACACATTCATTATTTACCTGGCATCTTTTTATTGTACCTGGACTCCAAGTAATCCTAGGTGGGGATTATACCACGAATGCTAACTACAAGGAGCAGTTGATCTGCTCCCACCTTGTGAGTACCCATTTTTATTACCTTATTTTATCCTAAAGTCTCTTATCCAGAGAACACCATTGGCTGTTTCTTTTTTAACGAGTGTTTACCATACCAAGGACGGAGGAAATAGGCAAAGGAAACTCTACTTATATCCCATAAGCGGGGATTAAACCGCTGTACGCCTTCTACACCAGAGCGGGTTACAGCTCTTTTAAATGTGAGTTTGCATTCTAGATTTTTAAATTTTTATCTTCTCCATTGTTGAACATACTACACTATTTGGCTCTTTATTTATCCTTTATCTTTTGCATACGAGCTGATCCATAAGGAAGATACCAATAAGGACAATTGTTTTGGACCAAGTATTATTATAAAATACTACCTCAACAGACGCCTCGAGATAAGACTTTCTTTTTTATCCATTTATTTTATTTGGACTATTTGTTTTACACAGAGTTTTATTCAGCGCAGCCCTTACTTTTTTTTTTTCTTGGTGTTAAGTCTAAGGGTTTTTGAGGGAATCCCTTATAGGGTTGCTGCTCTATTGTGTTATTTAGCGCTTACTCACTGCCTTGGTTTTAATGATCCATTCGTAGTTTCACAGTCAGGTGGGCAGTCCGGTGACCAGGCCCAGACACTGTCTGGGTGGCGGTCGGACGACCGGGACCTAGTATGCTTGATGTTGAAGTTAGGAGTCACAGTGTGGAATGGATTAGCTGGGTCTGTTGTAGGGTAACCGCACGCCCCCTGGTGCAGCTTCAGTAAAAAGAGTACTGGATACCAGAAGCCATCACCAGACTGATCCGCAACTTGGAACAGGATGTGACATTCACTGTAACGGCTGTGTGCGCTTTTGGCATTCTCACCCTGCTGCTGTTCGCCTGCCTGCGCTGCAGCGTAACTTCTGCCTTCCCGCTCACCGCCTCATGAGACTGTGCGAGCAGCAGCAGGCGATAGTGGAGATTCAGCTGCAGCACGCACGGGTCAGTGGCTCTGCACCAGACTTCCCTCCAATTGATCAGAGTTAAAGGATTTCAAGTGAACTCATTACAATTGAAGGGCCTCTAAAGAGTCCTGTATTGTTATTTGTCGTCACTACCTTCTCGCGTCGGGAGTGGGTCATTTGCGCACTTGCTGCCTTCCTTGCATGTGGTAGCCATTTCTCAGGGTCCCTGTACGGAATGGAACCCTGATTCCCCGTTACCCATGGTCACCATGGTAGGCACAGAATCTGTCATCGAAGGTTGATATGGATGACATCCGCATGCAAATTCGCCACCATGGGGATGTGTGATTGGCCCAAGGTTCTCTAGAGTCAACAAAGTGCCTGCACAACTATAATGTCAACAGCTACTCTGCAGAACAGAGTTGTCTTTTTTATATGTCCAAATATTTCGGGGGCTACCCCAATTAAAATATATTCATATATTTATATATAAAAACAGTGTTGGCTACCTCATCCTCCTCCTCCACCGCCATGTTCACCGCCTTCTCAACCTATGGGTCACTTAGTATAAACTAGGTGCACATTAGCAGAGGCTTGTGAAGGCCTTTTCTCCATGCATCAGGAGTTGAGAATTTCTCCAGGCATCAGGACTACAAGAAATGCACCGCAGGCCGCAAATGTTTATTTTTTTGTATGTCACAATATTTTGTGGGCTACCACAATTAAAAAATATATATATATATATATATATATATATATATATAAAAAAAAACAGTGTTGGCTACCTCATCCTCCTCCTCCACTGCTGCTTCCACCTACACCGCCACAGTCACCACCTCCTCAACCTATGGGTCACTTAATATAAACTAGGTACACATTAGCAGAGGCTTGTAAAGGCCTTTTCTCCATGCATCAGGAGTTGAGCATTTCTCCATGCATCAGGACTGCTAGAAATGCACCGCAGGCCGCAAATGTTTCTTTTTTTAATTTGTGCAAATATTTTGGGGGCTACCCCAATTAAAAAAAACAAAACAATTACCCCCATTTTACTTGCTTTTGCAGCTCTCTAGCTCTTTCCAGGAGTTTTTTAGAGGCATTTTTGTGGCCCAAAGCTCAGGTCCCCATTGACTTCAATGGGGTTCAGGGTCAAGTTCGGGGTCAAAGTTCGGCCAAACCCACCGGACCCGAACTTCCAGGTGTCTGCTCAATTCTATTAAAGAGTTATGGAATGTAAAAGAGACTGTATCTTGATGTGGGTAAGGGCGGGAAAATGGAAAAAAATAAATGTGATGGAAGGACAAATTAAGATGGAGGGATAAAACAAGAAAAATCCATTTAAATATATTTAAGTGTATGTCTACATGTTTTTATGGAGTGAGAACATTAGGAAGAGTAAAATGTGTTGGTGTGTGAGATTTTTGTATAATTATAATGATATAACTATAATAATTACTGTAAGTTTAATAGTTTAAGGGACACTATAGTCACTGAAACAACCTTTGCTTTTTAAGGCAGTTTTGCTGTATAGATCATGTCCATGCATGACTCACTGCTCAATCATTTTGCTTATGCTGCCTAGTAACACCTCCCAGCCTTCCTAAATTCTTTCTGTAAAGTGATATCTGATGTTTAACCCCTTAAGGCCACATGACGGAAATATTCCGTCATGATTCCCTTTTATTCCAGAAGTTGTGTCCTTAAGGGGTTAAACTTTATTTTAAAATATGTTTTATTATTTTAAAAATAATAATAACAAAAAGTTGTATTTATTTGTCAACATGTCAACAATCAATAATGTGTAACATATGTATACTGACATAGTGAGAGAATCTTTATTATAGAAAAAACAGGAAGAGAAAAAAATAAATAGAAAAAAATAAACAAAAGTATAAAACAGGAGAAAAAATTAATTAATAAATTTTGCATCCACATCCAACATTACATAATTAAGTTTGATACAAAAATTTGCGTATGAATACAATTTTTAATTATTTATGTATTATGCATTTGTGTAAGTGTCATATATTAAGTAATAAATCAAATATAAGTGTTAAATAATTTTCCGTCAAGTGGAGAACATTGTCACGCTTTTACTCAGGGATATATATACCACTAGGCAAACAAGGCATTTGCCTAGGGTGGCACTTTCAGTGGGGGTGCCAAAAAATGCCACCCCAAATTCCCAGACAAATGCCTTGTTTGCCTTGTGTTCTGGGGCTGTCCACCATACTGTGAGTGAGTGAGTGAGTGAGTGAGTGTAGCTGTCAGTATGTGTCTGTGAGTGTGTCAGTGTGTGTATGTCATTTATGTGTATCTAAGAGTGTGTGCCTGTCAGTGAGTGAGTGTGTCAGTGTGTGTCTGTCAGTGAAAGTGTGTGTTGGTTAAACAGTGTGTGCCAATGACTGTATGTGTGTGCCAATGACTGTGTAACTGTCAGTGAGTGTATATCAGTGTAGTATCAATGAGGACATGTGTCTGTCAGTCAAAAAAAATGGCCTTAACACAAATTAGGGGGGCAAATTTAGATTTTGGGGGTGCCCGAATTTAGTCATGCCTAGGGCAGCACAAATCCAAAATACACCACTGCTTGCACTTACTCCTCAAAGCTTTTTCCCATTCACACTAGTCGTGTCTGAGGAGTACATTAGTAGCTGATGGAATACGGAAAGCGAGTTCACAACGCTTATGCTCAAATAATAAACTCATGTGACAGAGGGAATAGTATTAGATTTTTGTTGTAGCTGAGATAAGGAGATGGTCTAACATTATTTTTGTGTGTACTGCTAAGTTATCTGGGAAACGTTTAAGTAGGCACAAACCAGGAGTTAAGTCAACAGGAAACTCTGTGATGGATAGCATCAATTAAAAAATTACTTGCCAATAATTTGATAATTTCAGGCATGACTAAAAAATGTGATACAATGTACCTGTCTGTCTGCACTCTAACATAAATTAGTTGTGGAAAGATGTAATCTGAACAATTTAAATGGAGAAAAGTACCATTGATAAATACATTTTAGTTGAGTTTCTATATGACGTATACAGTGTGTGATATCTTCAATGCAAGTAGTGAAGCATGCTAGTCTTCCACTGTGAGTACCTCACCCAGATCACTCTCCCACTTTGTCATATATGGCAATGTTATGCTTACTTTGCTGCAAAAAATACATGGCACATGGAGATGGTTTGTTTCCAGCCAGGATCTGAGATGTAAACCCTTTCTAAATTTGACAATTCCAGTTTTCTAGAATTCAGATCCTGGTCAGAAATCCCAAAATGTTCGCTAATTTTTTAAACCAAACTTGCATGTGCGATCAAAATAAATCATTAATACATTGAATACAATGAGAGGACCAGTATTTTACGTCTAGTTCACGTATAACTAATTTTAGTACAGCTAGAGGAGTGGCTCTGCATTAAGGATGGATTTTCCTTAATGCAGTATTAATTTACATTATGCATTGTTTCACCATATACAATATCAGTCACTGACAGAGTTATTTACAAAAAATTAGATTGCAAAGTGAATTTCATATTTAAGCCAGGATACTTTAGTGAATAACTCTGTAAAAGCATTGTCATCCTGAACATTATAGGTTTTGCCTTATACCTTCTGTATGCTTTGCCTTTCTGTATTCCTTAGGTCAGTGCATGCATTGTTTCACTGTACAGAGAGAAATCAAGTGGCTCCACAGATCTTCTATCAGCATGTTAGTAGTAGGAGAAGTTTAGTGAGCATTGAATTCTGCAATATTTTTGTCAAATTGAAACTGCCCTTATATATCCATTGTTAGTGACCTTACAATAGTTTAACTAATTCAAGTCAGTGTCAGGCTTGAACAAGAAAGATTACGGACTTGCCAAGAAAGCTTGCCAAGAAAGATTACAAACTTAATTTCTTATTATTTTGGTGCCAGTTGTGCATCTCTGTAGAAATATTTAGGTACTAAGTGAGGAACAAATGTCCTGGCCCCAGGTTAGCATTGATGGAACCATAAACTTAGCTTAACCCCTGAAAAAATGAAGTAATGTGGAGGAATATTAATAAAATGCATACATAATTAACATATGTTTCATATTTATGTTTGCCTGCTCTCTATAAATATATTTACAAAAAATAATATACTGTGATAATTAATTTAAGAGGAATATTATTTTCACAGTTTTATTGTTAAAAAAGTACGTCTTAGAGAAATACAGATGTTCAAGAAAAAAAGATGTCAAAATAATAAAAAAGAAAATGTACAGGATCTTACGAGTTTTTGAATGTAACTTATTATAATTATATCCATGTTCATTTCACAAGGTCATTATAACATTAGAATTTTCTCCAACTGATAAATATTTCATTCAAACATACACTTTATGATAAAAAATGTATTTAAAATAGACAGCTGTCATTTCTCTAATCAAAAAATCACAAAGGTAAAAAAGGTATTATCATAAGTCCAATGTTAGAATTCATAAATCAATCTAAAATAGTAATATGCATTTCTTAAAGGAGAGAATAGTTTAAAAAAAAATGTGATGGGTGCCGCTGATGAAATCTATAACTAAATAAGAATATTTAAAATGATAAAAAAAAACTCAAGTGATGGGTTCATTGTTTTTTTTTTTTATTATTGTTTTATGAACAGAATTTAATTAATTCATCTGAGTGCATGAGAAATAGTGATGTACCGAACGGTTCGCTGGCGAATGGCTCCTGGCGAACATAGCATGTTCGCGTTCGCCACGGCGGGCGAACATATGCGCGGTTCGACCCGCCCCCTATTCATCATCATTGAGTAAACTTTGACCCTGTACCTCACAGTCAGCAGACACATTCCAGCCAATTAGCAGCACACCCTCCCTAGCAGACCCTCCCACCTCCTGGAAGGCATCCATTTTAGATTCATTCTCAAGCTGCATGCTTAGTAAGAGGAGGGAAAGTGTAGCTGCTGTTCATAAGATAGGGAAAAGCATAGCTAGGTTAGGGATAAGGGTATGCTTTTTTTTAATTTATTTTTTCTATGTAATGTAATTGCACTTAGTTGTCTGCCACTGCTGCCAGCTTCTGTGTCAGGCTCACAGTGCATACTGTGCCCATTTCCCCAGTCAGTGCCACCACTTACATCTGGTGTCACAATAGCTTGGATTTAAAAACAAAAAACTTTTTTCACTGTTATAGATTGAATAGCAGTCAGTTGTCTGCCACTGCTGCCAGCTTCTGTGTCAGGCTCACAGTGCATACTGTGCCCATTTCCCCAGTCAGTGCCACCAATTACATCTGGTGTCACAATAGCTTGGATTTAAAAACAAAAAACTTTTTTTACTGTTATAGATTGAATAGCAGTCAGTGTCCTTAAAGCGGGTGTGTTACGCTAACAGTGGATACGCTGACAAGTGCCACCAATTAGATCTGGTGACACAAAGCTTGGATTTAAAAAAACAAAACACTTTTTTCACTGTTATAGATTGAATAGCAGTCAGTGTCCTTAAAGCGGGTGTGTTACGCTAACAGTGGATACGGTGACCAGTGCCACCACTTAGATCTGGTGACACAAAGCTTGGATTTAAA